TACGTGGGTATGATGTATTAAAGCACGAATAACGAAAAAAGGAAAGGAGAAAAATAGGAAACTTTCATTAGGGAGCAGCCTGGGGCATGCCAGTTGCCTTTGTTTGGGAGCAGTTAGAGGGGCCCACATGAGAGGTGCTTGCGTAGCTTTCACAGGCCCCTCCGGCCTGGCACCTCCCTCCTAGAATCAGTCCTGGTTACCCAAGGCATTTGCTCCAGGTAGGAGCCACCAGTGTGACCTCTGTCCTAAATGGGGTTGGCAGGGACCCTGAGACCAGCGAGTCATTTGGGAGGGTCATAAGAGGGCTGGGTGGCCCGAGGGAGCCCCTGCCTGTTGTGCAGGTGTGTTAGTTTCCTGTGGCCACTGTAGGAAATTACCACAAATAACACAAATGTTGTTGTTTTATAGTTCTGTAGGTCGGAAATCCTAAAGCGGCTGGCAGGCCTGGATTCCTTCTGGAGGCTCTAGGGGAGAATCTGTTTTCTTGCCTTTTCCAGCTCCCAGGGGCAGCTGCAGTCCTCAGCTTGTGGCCCCTTCATCCATCTTCAAACCAGCAGCGTAGCATTTTCCAATCTCTCTGTGCTCTTCTACTTCCATCATCACGGCGCCTCTGTGTGGCTGACCCTCCTGCCTTCCGGTTGTAAGGCCTTTTGTGATGACATTGGGCCCCTGGGAGAATCCGGGATACCCCCCACCTCAGTACCCGTAACTTAATCACATTTGCAAAGTCCCTTTGCCATATAAGGTAACCTGTCCACAGGCTCTGGGTATTAGGATGTGGGCGTGTTGTGGGAGCATTATACAGCCTGCCACAGCTGGCTATTCTCCATTGGTCCCCGATCTGTCCCCTGCCCTGGAGGCTCAGCATGCGGATGTATCCCAGCTCTCTTGCCCTCTGCCCTCCAGTTGGGTATGGCTAACCAGAGGCACCAGCAGGAGACCTAGCAGTGGGAGGAGGACTTTTGGGCTTTTGCTTCTCTGATTCTCTCCTTGCTGGGCTGTGGTTTGGCAGCATCTGTGCTCTTTGACCTGTGGTCACAATGGGTGTCCTGGACCACAGCTCTCACTCACTGGTCTCTGAGCAGCACCGTCCCCCAGGCCCTGCAGGCCAAGCCTGGCGACGGTTTCCCACTCCCACCAGTGCCCTACACTCCCCGTTCCTTCTTGGTTCCCTCAACACCTCCCACGCTTTCATTCTGCCTCCGTGGCTACTTCTTCGAGCAGGCCACCTGTCTTCTGCCAAGTCCCTGCCTGCTCAGGTATCGAGTCTCTGCCAGGCTGCGGGGAGGAGAGGCCAGTGTGGCCAGCTCCCCAAGGGCAGGCCCAGAATTTGAATCCAGGCCCAGATCCACAAAAGGGCACCAGAGCCAGCTTTTTCCTGCCCCCCAGGGCACAGCCCCCTCTCACGCCCTCAGCTGAACTCTCCCCTGCAGAGCCACCTGCCGTAAGAAGGGCTGAGCCCACAGTGACGTCTAAGGTCTTGGTGTGCATCTGGAGGTTGAAAACATGGCAGAGGGATACAGCACATGCTCAGTTATTGCTTGTCACAAAGCCAAGGCACCTCCTGGTCTGCGAGAAATGGCTAGGCAACCTCGAGCACATTTAATTTAGCAAACAGTTCAACTTTCAACAGCACGGGCTCTGCAGGAGGCTTGGCGGGAGCCCCGGGGACTGACAACGGCACCCTTTTCGAGAGCCCCCTCCCCACCTCAAGGTGGTACAGATGAGCCTCAGCTCAGCGAGGGCCCTGGCTTGCCCAGGTCATGCAGCTGTAAGTGGCCGAGCCTGGAACTGACACATGTGGGTTGGATCTGAAGCCTGGGGTCCCACCCCTTGTAGGTCTAACGCCCAATAAGTGGCAGAGGCCAAGATGAGTAGATGGGAGCGTGGCCTTTCTTTTTAGTTGCCTGCAAGGCCATTGTTTCTAAGGGGGTGGGGAGCTTGAGAGTGAGGGGCCACCTGTGCCCTGATTTCCTCACCACGAAAGGGGAGACAGCTCCAGCCTCACCATGTCACCCGTCTGCGTGATGACGCTGCAGCAGTCCTGGTTCGGTTTCTCTGCCAGCTGACATCTGGATACCTGCTTTTGTCCCTGGAGACTCTGTCTAGAATTTCCCCTAGATCCAATGCTCTGTGAGTAGGGGGCATCTTGACCACCTCCGAGTGCCCGCTATGTGGGAGGGGGCTGCCCCCCACTCGGCCTCTCGCTGTTCCTCGCCTCTGGAGGTTCTAATGGGAAGGTTAGGTAAACCCGCATCCTTATTTCTGGTGGTTTTGCGTCTGCAGGGTTCCCGGCCTGATTACATTTGCCCGGTGACTTCAGGTATCCTCATTAGTGTGAGAATCTGATGAACAAAGAATCTCGCCTTTCCTCCTGCCACCAGTAAAA